GTCATAGGACTGTCCTACTATAATGCTGTATATATTTCTAAATTTCTGTGTAAAAATATGTAATTGTTTATTTCTATTTTTTAAAATATTTTTAATTTTTTTCTTCACATTCTGAAGGGATTTAAAGTTTAAGATATCAATGCTTGATGGAAAATACCTGTCCCATGTTCTGTCTAAGATGTTTGATATTCAGATAGATAGTGAGGTTAAGCTCAACTACTTATGTTATGGGGTAATAATATCATCAAGCTTTTCTTCTGGAGGGTTAACAACTTAAGTTTGCAGACCAAAAAATTAGAGAAAAAGAAGGGCTGCAAGAACAGCCAACATTTTGGCCCTAGCCATTCAAGGTAAGTGAGGACTCAGAACATAAGACAACCTGTACTGAAACATCCTGTAACTGAGTGGTATCCCAAATTTTCTGATCAAGGAGATTATGGGGCCACAGAGGAAAGTGATCAATGATGTAGAGTGTGCCTAAGGAGAGTCACCTGGAGAGAAAATATTCTCTCAGGCTTTCACAGAGAGCAAAATGGTCAAGCAATGGCCGTGACTCATCCACATGGCTGACACTGACAAAGGATCTACAAACTGTGGTATGGGTTTCAGGGTAAATCTTGAGGCGATTTGACTGACCTTGTCAGCTACAACAGTTACATTTTTTTGTCATACAGGTCTTGCTTTATCTTGGTCTTAACCATCCAGCAGAAAAGTATAAACATAAGGTATAAAAAGTAAAACCATATTAATATGCTAGGCTGTAAAAGGCTCAATTCAACAACTTCTGACATTGCCAGTCCTATGGATAACCCACTACTATAATGAACTGCTGGACTATATTGGATTATTTTGCTGAATTCATGCACCTACAATGTTTAAATGGCAATGGAATATCCATCTCTAACAAAACTGAACAAAAAAAAAGGGATACAAAGGAATTTGTATATATCTTGTATTTGTATATACAAAATAGGGTAGATATACAGCTACTTTCTCTTAATTCAATGAGAAGAAAGATTTGTAGTAATAGCATTTGGACAGGATATCACGTCTGCATCTTGTACTGTGAATAACTACTATGAAGACAACAATACACAATGTATTAATTATTGTAACTGTCCTACTAACCTGTTTTAAAACTCTCATTGTTATTTGTTTCTCAATAAAATATTTTTTTACAAAAAGAACTTGCCAGGGAGGTGGCTCAGTGGAATAAGCACTTCCCTGGCAAGTGCAAGGGCCTGAGTTCAATCCCTGGTTCCGAAAAAAAAAAAAAAAAAGAAAAGAAAAAAAAAACCTTCAAATAAATTGTGTCATCAAAAAAAGAACTTAAAGGGGCCAGGGAGATGGCTCAGTAGAATAAGGCGCTTCCCTGGCAAGTGCAAGAGTCTGAAGAGTTCAATCCCCAGTTTCAAAAAAAAAAGGGTGTAAGACTGTATTTTCAACTTGATACTGGGGCAGGGGAAGGGCCTAAAACATCCACTAGTGAAGCCGGGTTATTGCTAGGTAAGGAGATGATCACGAGAGCGTCTTTACACTCCTCTGCCTTCTGCACTGCGCAGCTTATCTCCTATAGCAGAAATAGCCGCACCAGCGGGTCAGGAGGGCGGCAGCACTCACGTGGACGGCAAGGGCACCCTTGCTCCCCTCCCGCTGGGAGTCCTCCAGGTCCCGCTCCAGCCGCTCCTTGTCCTGCTGCAGCTCGCTCAGCTCCTGGGTGAGCCTCTTCACGCTCCTCTGCAGCCTGCGGTTCTCCGAGCTCCGGGTGAGGTTCTCGGAGTGCAGCTCAGCCAGGAGGGCTTCCTTCTCCCTCAGAGCAGCCTCAAGGTCTTCAGAGCCCTAGCGGGGAAGGGAGCGGGGAACACGCTGATTTTCCTCATTAAACCAGGAAATGTGCGCTCCTTTTTTAGTTGGGGGGGAACATTAACATAGATGACATTCGAGATAGAAAGCACAAACAACCTGATGGGTTTGGAGCAGCACAGAATAATGTTTATGGTATACCATCAATATAAACGGGAAAAATCTACTTCTGGAAAAGGAGTACTCTAAATTCAAGAAAGAAAAGGCACAAGATGTGAACTGAAATGGCACAAAATCTGTAAGTGACTTTAGTAGTGTGGGAGTATACTTTTACCATTTTCTTCATTTTTCTATATTTTCAAATGTTCTAAGATAAGCAAGCATGTTACGTTTACAATGGTTTTTGTTTTGTTTTTTTTTTTTTTTAAAAAAAAGTCACTTTTGGGGCTGGGGAGAAAGCTCAAGGGTCTAAGTGCCTGCCTGGCAAGCATAAGGAACCAGATTTGATCCCTGGTACCGCATGCCGTGCTACCACCAGAACTGCCAGCATGCTGTGCCAGCCACCAAAACCCGGCGTGATGGTGCACAGCTCTATCCTAGTGCTGGGGAGACTGAGACAGGAGGATCACTGCTAGTCTGAGATGCATAGTGAGACCCTGTACCAAATAAATAAATAAATAAATAAATAAATAAATAAATATTTTTTTTTTAAAAAAACAGAAAAAATATAACTTCTTTTAAAAAACAATAGTGGGTGTAGGTGCTGTCAGTGTCTTTCTGTGTTCTGATGCTCAAAGGCAGAATCAACTGAAAACAGAGGAGTGGGCAGCAGGGCAGTTCGAAGACCGCACTCAAAGGCCGGAACTTCAGCAAGGGCCAGGGGCTAACCGTGTCAAGAACTCCTTTATCTCATTAGTGCACAGTTCACCTGAGAAAACACCTACGTCACCACAAACATTAAAAGTTCTAGATCCTCAATAACGAATTACACTGAGTTCTCCTTTATCAAGTAAGATTCTCTTTTGAATGAGAATGTGTGGGGCTGGTGAGCTTATCAAAGGCGCTCTTCACAGTCCCTCTCTGAGAACTGGCCAACCACCCACACACGAAGGGATGTGCCGAGAGGCGTTTGCACGGCTGTAAGCATATGCACGGGTGATAGATATCAAGTCCAAGTGGACAGTTCAATAAAGGAGTTCACATTCATCTCTGGAATGCCACTCCTGAGATTCAGTCTCAGCACAATGAAAAATTTTGGTGTGGGAATTTGTATGCCACGTCATTCATCTTAGAACCGCTTACAGTAACAAACAATAAGAAACAATCTAAATACGTAATCATACAAAACTAGATAAAGAGGACAGCCAATAAAATGAGAGCTACAAAGAATCAGTAACGTGAACATTACTACATTACATTATATGATCATCAAGAGAAAATCTATGCATAGGAGAAGTCTAGAAGGAAAAACATCAAAGTGGTAATATTTGTCTAGATTTGCCTTTCTTTTTTCTTCTTTCTAATTTTCTTGGGGAATACGCTGAAGCAGAGGAAAATACACTTTTTATGATTTTTTTTTCAATTGGACTGAGGCCTAACATTAATTTAAAAACAAGTGATACTTGAGTTGTCAAGGCGACAACTCAGATTGGAAGAGGGGCCCCAGTTTCTCGCTAGAAAATTCCTGCCAGCTCCCCTTAGTTACTACAACCATTAAATGAAGAGCAGCGGAGCTCCACTGTACAAGGCCGCCTATACCCTGGCGTCCAGTCCTGTGACCCTGACTGCTGTTGCAGAACTGAAACACGGTGCAAGAATGGATCCTACTCAAATTCCAAAGTAAGTTTATAAAAACTTTTAAATTTTTTAAATTTTGTTGTTGTTGATACAGGGTCTCGCTATGCAGGTTGGACTTGTAGTGATCCTCCTGTCTCATCCTCCCCAGCACTGGGATTACAGGTGTGTACCATCATGCCTGGTTTGGGGGTCAGCACAGTGTGCCTGGGGTTCTAGGGCTGACACAACAGGAGGTACCAGGGATCGAACTCAGGACCTTGAGTTTGCCAGGCAAGCCCTTAGACCACCCAGCTATCTCCCCAGCCCTACGAAAACTTTTATAATTTCCTTTGGAATTAAAATAAATAAAAAGAAATAGGAAGTCTAGGTCACAAGTCAAACATTTTTTAAGTATCTGTGACAATGCTTAAATAAGCTCAACAAAAGAAAGTAAACAGCAATTGGAAAATCCTCATCTTGAATAATATTCACAGCTACCTTTTACTAAGCATTGATTTTATGAAAGGAGCCAACCAAGCATGAGCAAATTTCCACACACGCTACCTCTATTTCTCACACCAAGTGTAAAAGTACACAATTGTGCTCATTTAAGCAACTGAGGCTTCAAAACTGCCCGGTGCACACGCTGTCATCGGCCCACCAGGGACAGCCCTGGGCCTTCAATAAGAGAAGCTGCACTCTTCCCACAGCAGAGCCCATATTCCCTTCCAAGTGGCGGTCTCAGTAAAGACCAACAAACTGGAAAGAATAAAAGCAAGGCGACTAAATAAGAGCGGGAAGGCCCAGGGACAGGAGCACCAGTTAAGAGCCTGTCAAATATCTGCAGCAGTTACAGCAAGGTGATGAAAGTTCTTCAGGACTGTCACATGAACAATGAAGACAAAGCCTCTTTCTAAAAATCCAAACTCTAGGGGCCAGGGAGATGGCTCAGTGGAATAAGCGCTTCCCTGGCAAGTCCAAGGGCCTGAGTTCAATCGCTGGTTCCAGAAAAATAAAACAATAAAAATAAAAATCCAAACTCAGCTGCGGTGAAGCGGAACAGGCCTGTAAGGAGGACCAGGAGTTCAAGATCAATCTGAGCTACACAAGAGTTTAACACCAGCTGGAACTACCCAGTAAGACCCTGTCTTAAAAAAAAAAAAAAAAAAGAGAAAAGAAAAAAAGAAAGGCTGGCCAAATAGCTCAGCGGATTACAGCACCTGCAAGCAGGAGCAGGAGGTCAGGGTTCAATCCCCAGGCCTGCCAGTGCCATGGCGGCCCGCTGAGACAGCAATTGAGACTGGGCGTGGTGGTGCACGCCTGTAATCCCAGCTCTTG